ATATATATATATATATACATAATATTTGTAGGTTAAATAAGTAAAAAATCAGTTATTTAACATTAAGGGGTAGTTGTGTTTTTTTAACATTACATTTAGTTAAATTTAGCTACATTTATACTGTCTTAAAGTTACATCTGGCCTTTTGAGGGCAACCGATATGCTGATGTGGCCCTCAGTGGGCAAACTGACCACGTTTGTTGATGCCTTTTCTGTCTCTACTAGGGAAGCGGCTTTTATTTTGAAACGCTCCAAACGGAAGTAGATCTTGTTTTGAGCGGAAGTGGTCCTGGAACAATCTGGACGTCTAAAATTAGGGAGGCGCCCCAACTGCAAATGACGCAAGAAGACTAAAGTGGATGTTGTCGTCGTCCCTGTGAGTAAATGATAACACGACTCGAGGGGTCATGGAGACCCTCGCCACAAATTAGCTGTTGACGACACGGAGGGTATTTTTAGCTGCGGCTGTCATGTTTTCGTAACGGCCCGGCCGTGGCGTTCACTATAAAGGACTGTGAAAATGCAGCTGTACAACAGTGCGCTGACACACTACCCGAGGACGTCTCGCAGAGTTACGATTACTTTGTCGCCCGCCGCCGAGCACTTGAACGGGACGACTCGAAGTTCCCCGGAGGTCGACGGAGCGGGGTTTGACCGACGTCAGGCGACTTCCAGCGGCGGCGACGCTGCGTCACACATGCCCGCCTTTTCCAGCTACGAGGCTTCGCCCGCGAGGCCGACTTACTTCACCTCCACCGCAGAGATATTAATCCGCAAACCCGACGGGCTGGAAAGATCCGTGCCCGTTCGCATCGTGAGGGGGCCTCAAAACAACACCCCCTCCCTTCAGTCGCGTGCGCTCTGCAGCGACGCAGGCAGGGTGGGAGAACTGGTGGAGCACGTCAGACATGGGACGGAGATGTTTGCTCCTGGTGGGAATCTTGTTTTCAAGAGCAACAGCGCAAATGAATCCGTAGCAGATGAACGGAAACGAAAGATTGGGAGTTTATTGGAGGATGATGCGGATTCACTCCCCAGTGCCCACTTTCGAAATGGATGGGAGCTGGCTGCACCCAGATCAGTTCACAAAGACTTCAGAAAGGAGCATCTCAGTGATGCGACCCCAGCCTCAGATGACAAGCAGGCCTTTGAGCTCAGCGTCCTGCAGGAGGCAGCTCCTCAGAGAGTCCAGGACAAAGTGGACAAAGTCACCCGGTACCTGGCTGAAGTGGAGAAGCAGAACAAGTACCTCCAGGAGAGGCACAGGTACAGGTACCACATCATTCCAGATGGCAACTGTCTGTACAGAGCTGTGTGCAAAGCCGTGTACGGGGACCAGTCCAGACACGGGGAGCTGCGGGAGCAGACGGTGTACCACATCGCCGACCACCTGGACGACTTCATCCCAGTCATTGAAGGGGATGTGGGGGAGTTCCTAATCAACGCAGCTCAGGACGGCACCTGGGCAGGGTACCCGGAGCTTCTCGCCATGAGCCAGATGCTCAACGTCAACATTCACCTTACAACTGGGGGGAGCTTGGAGAGTCCCACTGTCTCCACCATGGTGCACTATCTTGGGGAGGAGGATGCTTCCAAACTGGCTATCTGGTTGAGTTGGCTCAGCAATGGACACTATGATGTCATTTTGGACAAGTGTCTCCCCAACCCAGAGTATGAGGACTGGTGTCGACAGTCACAGATGCAGCGGAAGCGAGACGAGGAACTGGCGAAGTCGATGGCAGCCTCGTTATCCAAGATGTACATAGAACAGAACGGATCTGTGTGAAAGAAAGTCATCTCGAGAGTGAATGTTTGTTACTGAATAGTATCGCTCCTGCTTAGTTTTAAATTATTTTTATAAGATTTCTATCATGGGTGAAAGGAAGTGCAGTGCACATGCGTGGGTTTTTATGAACCAGAATTTCCAAATGATTGTTTGAAAGGTTGTGTGGCATTTTGAGATACTTTTGGTTACGAGACGTAGATTATTGGAGTGGATTTGGTGTGTACAGTATTTATTTTTCCTTTTGTGGGGGGCAAACATATTTTTCTGATATGCTTTATTGGCAGTTGCCAAATATTTTCAAATACAGAGAAACCTAGTTTGCATTTTTACACCTGGCTTTATCATGCATTATCTGTTTACTCACTTTTGCACAAAAGTCCAGTCAGACTTGTTGAGAAAGTTTGGATTTGTATCCTGTTCTTTTTGAATAATTCCAGTCTTTGTGTTTGACAAAATAATTCATAATTAAAAAAAAAATGAAAGAAAATAACTGAGTTTACTATATGTGTATGTGCTTTGCTCACACTATTTTATTAAACTGTCTAGTTTCACTGATCTTGTTTATTCATTCTGAAAACGTATAATCAAGTTGAAGGTATTCTTCAAGTAGAAATATCCAGTATTGTGTCATTTGTTGTGGGGAAAAAGCCACCAGTAGCTGAGAAGATAATTCAAGTAGTTACTTTTTGCATAATTTGTTGCAGAAATTATGCTTTTTGTTGGGGCACAGCTCAGTAAATCATGAGATACAAACATTTGTTCTTTAAAAATTGCTATGATGGCTAAAATAAGTTTATAATCCTTTTGCTGAACTTTGTTTTGGAACAGCTATGTTAGTTGAAAACTCATGGAGGATAGACGTGTGATTTGTATATTGATAAATTTTTGACGATCAGCAGACATCTTGAGGCGCTAAAGGTCAGTTTATTGTAAGGGTCATTATTGATATTAAAAAAACGTGGACGTAACCAATGAACTCTGAACAAAACGTTCAAACGAAGACAAAAGAACGAGTCATTCTAATAATTTTGATGACTAACAGAAAAAAAATAAGCCAGAAGAAGTACTTTAAAAAGAGATCAGCCTTTTTGTGCTACAGTAGATTTTTGGAAGTATTTTCAAAAATATTTTATAAAATTTGTTCATTCCGTACATGCAAACATGCATACATATAGCACAGAGCATGCATATGCATGCATACATAAATATGCACACTACATGCATATGTATACATACATAAATACATAGCACAGTACATGTACTGTATGCATGCATATGCATGCATATACAGTACATATATATACTGTAGCACAGTACTTGTACATGCATGCATACATACATACAGCACAGTACATGTACATGCATGCCTACTAACACATAGCACAGCACATGTACATGGATGCATACAAACATACATACCTAATACATAGCACAGCACGTACACACATGCATACAAACATACATATATACATACATATAGCACATCACATGTACATGCATGCATACAAACATACATGCATCCATACATACATGCATACATGCATATAGCACATGGCATGTATATGCATGCATACAAACACATAAATATAGCACATACATATTTAGGCCTACAGTACAAGCATATGGTAAATGCATACATTATACATAGCACGCACATTCATACAGTATTTACAGTATATATAGTAGACACAGTGCATGCATGCATACAAACATACAAAAATATAGCATGCACATACAAGCATATAGTAAATGCATACAGTGTGCATACACGTATACATGTACAAGTACCCTCAGTGCTGCATCCAGTCCATCCACTGCAAACACAAAAATTGTCCCTTTCTTCCACTAGATGGCGATATAGGCTTAATGTTTTCACACAAAACATTGCAGGCAGAAGAGTAAGCATTTCGTTTTCTTCCCGTTTTCTGCTTTCTTCTCTAAAAACCTCCTGTAACGAGTGATAATTATATCTTTCTCACTGAATTTCTGTAAAGTCCTGAAAAATGGGGAACAGGGGAAAATGGTTGAACAGCATTAAATCTTTAATTAAAGGTCTACTTATAAATTAAGACACTTTTTAAAAGTTAAATCAAATACTTGATTCAGTTCCTTAAGCAATGTGATAAACGGTTTGACATGATATTTTATTTAATGCGCCTCATTAAAGTGGTGTTATTTATTTCTACCCTGAAAGCTCCACAGTGATGACGTAACGTAGCAGTCCTAGCGGCACGCGGCAGAAAGTTTTTCATCTTATTCAATGCGGAGGAAGAAGTCTCACGCGCACCATAAACAAGCAGGAGGCAGGTGGGGTTGGACGGAGCGGGCTCCTTCACCGCAGTGCTGGCGCAAACCAGCTCACAGGGCGCAAGAAAAAAAAAAAGAAGACCCACACCCCCAAGCCCACAGAGCCGCGCGTCTTTGAAGGGTTCACACGCGTCCAGCGGACCACGAGACCGTGAGGCTCGCGCTGGTTGGAAACTTACCGGGTACTTTTCAAAGCAAGCCGGAGCAGAGAGGCGGACACGGCGGGGACATGTCGGGACACCGGGTGCAGTTCGACCTTCCTCCGAGTGACCACAGAGGCAGCCCCAAATGTAGCAGTAAGGAAATGTACTCTCCAGAATAAATTTAGAAGTCTGTTTCTCTTGAACATGTAAAAAAAAAAAAAAAAAAATGCACATGTTCTGATGAGGTTCGAACCCGCATCATAACTTAAAATTAGGGGCGCATCGATAAATCAGCCGGACGATTTGGGGAAATCGGAAATTTTTCGATACTTGCACGAGAAACCGATTTTACCAACTTTTTTAGTATTAACTAAACACTACCTCATGGCCAGTTAAAACAAGTATTGTTTCTAGTGTATTGTTCAAGGGTATGATTTCCAATATAAGATTAGAAAATTGAAGGTGCATTGTGACCTTATAACACCTGACAGTGTCACTTGTAAAACAATATCGGTATCGGCCAAAATCGGAATTGTCATGTCAGACTTTTTTAGAAATTGGTGATCGGCCAGAAAACTGCAATCAGTGCACTCCTGCTTAAAATGGCACCTTTTTTTTTCTTGAACTTTCACAGTAGCCTACAGCTAAAGAGCTCAGAATGTCGTATACTATTTTAGTAATTACAACCAGGGAACAAGGTGTGAGGAGATTTAATCTTTTTCAACTTTTATTTATCTGATGTTTGTATAAGACTTTATTGCATGTGACTGATGTGTTGACCCCATCACCAGTGGTCCACTCAGCATCAGTGACATCCACTGATAAGAAGAGGCAGTTGACCCTTTCATGATATCTCTCTCTCACCCCCCCCCCCCCCCCCCCCACACACACACACACTAACTACAGTTCTCATGCTTTGTCTTGAAGGTGATGCTCACCTTGTGGAGCAATCTAGCAAGTTTAGAAGATTAAAGGTGCGGTTGAAGATGTGGCTCTGCTCACATGTAAAGTGCCTGTAATGGTGCTGCAGCGAGACAAACACTGAGCTCGTCCCCACAGCGACAGTCTGAGTGACAGAACACGTGAACAAGGATGCAAGGGAAAATTGCTAGTTATCTGCAAAGCTCGTGGAGGAGTGCAATCTGTAGCTTTTATTCTATGGTTTTTGAAGTTTGTGACGGAAGCCTCGCTGGCAGTTTGTCTCTGTGTTTCATGTTTTCCTCAGTCACATGGACTGCAGAGGGAGAAGTGCTGATGTAGTATGCAGGTTCAGATCGCATGTGGGGCTGATGTGTGGAAGGGGACAACAGCAGCTTCAGCAGCAAGCTACACATTCTGACTCAGCCGATCCATTTTTCTTGCTGCTTAGCAGCAGGTGACATGGAGGTCAACCTCCAGTGTCTTATCTTGTCTTTCACATATATGATAGTATTAAAAGTGTGTAAAGACTGGATTATTCGTAAAGCCTGCAAAAGACATCAGACTTATTCTCGTATCTGTCTTGATTTATCAGTCGGGTATATACAGTGTTGAACCCCCCCCCCCCCCCCCACACACACAAGTCAGCCTGTTTTCAGTTAAGTATCAGTAAGTGAAGTACAAGAAATACATCTGATACAAAAACAAGTGCTATGCTTGTTTACATGTAATGAAACTAGGGATGCACGATATTATCGGCATGGTGTCGGTATCGGGCGATATTTGCGTTAAAGTTAAATATCGGATATCGGCCATTCCATCAAAATAACTCGCCAATATAAAAGGTGCTTATATATATATTTATAATGTATGTATGTATAAAAGGTTCTGTTTTTGTATGACAATCCAGTGACAAAATTTGACATTAAACATAATCCAAGCATCATTTTCAGCCCCCTTTTTGGCATCTACATTTGGTAGCAGGCCAAATTGACAAAGACCATGCAGAATGTAGTATTTTAATTCCACTGCAGAGAAAGCTAGTCTCTGTAAGTAGGTCCAAGGGGAAAATATCGGTATCGGTTATCAGCCAAATAAGTTATCGACCAAAAATCCAATATCGTGCATCCCTAGTTGAAACCTTTTTTTTGCATCATTTTCTTATGGATTTCCTACAGAACTGTTTTTTTTTCCAGTTAAATTGTTTTTTTAATCCTAACCTCAGTTACTTTGCTCTTCACCATCATCACAGTGGGAGTTTGAGTCACACTTTCCATGCAAAGCGTCATTGCAGCTGTTTCACAACATTAATACGAAAGAACAAGTTGCAGATGTTAGCGTTGCAGATGGTATGCGGTTGACTTAGTGTTTTGGATTTAAAATTTGAATGTTGGCATGACGGCTGTTTGATCTTTTTTGTGTGATGTGGGAACTAATCTCCGTTTTGTGAGGAACTGACTGACTGTAGAGCGTGTCATTCGGAGCTAAACAGTGAAATGACTTTCATTGCAACCTAGACAGCTGCAGTCTGAAGCATGGTGTCCATCATATCAGGTTTCTAAAAATATTTACAGAGTATGTCAACAGCTTCTAGACAAAGATAAGCAGTCTGGGATGGAGAGCTGGATGAAGATATCGCCTTCATTGTTCCTAATAGTCTGATAATAGTTCATATGAAGGAAGAGTGGAGGGCTCAGCAATATAAAAATAGCCATATTTGACGGGAGACCTATAAATAAAGTTATAGTAATAAATGTAGCTCTTTATTGTTCACTTGATGTGCAATAGTTTTGTAGAATATGGTGAATACTTCTTCACGGGTGCTTCTTTACCAGCTCAGGAAAGCAGCTGTTGTCTGTGCCACCATCAGTCTTAAGAAACTAAAAGAAGGGGAGGATGTCTCCACAGCACAGAATAGAAATGTGAAGATGAAGATGAAGTTTAGCTGTAATTTTCTCAGACATCGCTCATTCACTGAGCTGCTCTTGACTCGGGTAAAGTGTGAAATGCCAACGTTGAGTACA